TCTTAGATAAAATTCTTAAAGAATAGATGCAATTCGAATTTAATTAGAATTTTTCTCGATTTATCTGGTACAGATCCATTTTAACTCATTGCTGTAACTGAATAACACTTCATTCTGTTGACATAGATGCTGCAGTTATTTTCAGTTTCGTTATTTTTTTTTTTTTTATATATCTCACCATATTTTTTATCCTTTTTTTTCCTTTTCTGTTGTTCTCTTTTATCTAGTATACTTGCGTTCGCGAGAGTTTTACTTTTTTCATTCTTTTCTTTTTTTCCCCTTTTTTTTCTCTCGTATCTATTTCGTTTGTTATTTATCTATTTGCTCTCCAAAAAATTATTATTTGCTCTTTGAAGATGAATGAAACGATGTGAAAGAAAGTGTTTTACATTTTATTCGTGATATTAAAACATAATGTTCAATATACGTTTTATTGATTTGTGTACATTTTACGTACGACGCAATTTTCTTTGATTTTCCAATTTTCTTATTTTATATTTTTTATCTTACATTTCTTCTATTATCCTTATATATTTTTATAAATTTCATTTTAACAATGCATTTTCATTAAAATATTTATTATAGTATTTGAAGATAGCGCTGTGCTGAATTTCATCACCATAACCTATCATAATGTAATCAAAAACGCGGTTAACAGGTAGACTGTCAATTGTTTCATCAAAATTAAAGTATTTTTAAAAATGACAAGTGTCAATTTATTGTTATATAGATTAAGAATAATAGTAAATAATTTCCTATAATAAAAACTTGAAAGTGATTTGAAAAATATTAATTGTAACAACATTGTGACATCGTATAAAAAAAGATGCTTCGTCGCAACCAGAAAGCATTACTCTACTGTCAACTGTTTGGACTTTCAGAGGAGGACGAATCACAGATTTTCGTGAAGTTCTTTAAATTTCACAAATGTTATGACCTAATACCGACCAGTGCCAAATTGGTCGTTTTCGATACGCATCTCCTCGTTAAAAAGGCCTTCTTTGCTCTTGTTTATAATGGTAAGTTAAAATTTAATTAAAAATATTCAATTATAATATATTTTAATGCTATTATTTTATTTCATTGACGATCAATTTCAATAATAAAAAAAAAAATTATGTTTGATTTTATTTCCAGGTGTGAGAGCTGCACCATTATGGGACAGTGCAAGACAAGAGTTTGTTGGAATGCTAACAATAACAGATTTTATAAAAATCTTGCAGATGTACTATACTAGTCCATCTGTAACAATGGATGAATTAGAAGAACATGAATTAGATACATGGAGAAGTAAATATTCTTCTTTGATAAAATTTTCTTTGATAAATTTTAGATTTAATAAGTATCAGAATAATATAATTGGTCAATTTTAATATTTTAGAAGTGTTAAAAGATCAAGTTCATCCATTAGTGAGCATTGGTCCAGATGCATCTTTGTATGAAGCTATTAAAACTCTAATTCAAAATAGAATTCATCGTTTACCTGTGATAGATCCAGATACTGGAAATGTTCTCTATATCTTGACACACAAACGAATTCTTAGGTTCCTCTTCCTTTATGTAAGTATGAAATAATAATAAGAAAAACACTATATATAATGCATTAATATATTAATATATTATATTATTATTATAATAGATACATGAGTTACCAAAACCATCTTTCACAAATAAAACATTGAGGGAATTGAGGATAGGTACATTTGAAAATATAGAAACAGCAACAGAAGAAACTAGCATAATTTTAGCATTAAAGAAATTTGTTGAAAGGAGAGTTTCTGCATTACCAATTATTGATACTGAAGGAAAATTGGTTAATATATATTCAAAATTTGATGTTATTGTAAGTGAATTTTATAAATTTTAATTAGTACATTTTGATTCTTAATGAAATCATTTACAATATTTTAAATTTATATTTTTATAGAATTTAGCTGCAGAAAAAACATATAACAATTTAGATGTTTCATTGAGAGAAGCAAATGAGCACCGCAATGAATGGTTTGAAGGAGTTCAAAGTTGTAAATTAGATGAAACCCTGTTTACTATTATGGAGAGAATTGTTAGAGCAGAGGTATAGTTTTTATTTTTGTAAAAAAAGAGTGTATATAAATATATATATAAACTTTTTATAAGTTATTTTTTTTAATAATATATTTTTTATTTGTTATTTTTTATAATAATTTGATGTAAATATAATTATATGTAAATATATACTGTCATGCTATTATATACACTTATGTATATTAACAAATAAGTAAAATATATAAAAATGTTGTAGGTTCATAGGTTAGTAGTGGTTGATGATGATGATAAAGTGATCGGTATAATTTCTCTATCTGACTTACTCTTCTACCTCGTTCTTAGGCCTTGTGGTAAGAATATATTTTAACTTATACATTTTTAAAAATAAAAATACATAAGATATATAATAATAATAAATGAATGTCATATTTAGGTGAAGATGGCAGTAGCAATAAAGATAGTTCTATATCGTTAAGAGCACAGGATTCTATGTCAAAAGCTCCAAGTTCTGTGCAATCAGAGGCTTCAATTCCTGATGGTGAAACAGAAGCTGAACAAGATACAGCTGAAGTGAACCAATCTGAAGAAGCACCTGCAACACCTAGTCCACCGCTGAGTCCTGTAGCATCAGATATTTCTGAACCTCAGTCATCTTTAGTAAATCAATCTCAAGAATCAGCATGGCGAGAAGTAACCGTATCGGGAGGAGATTGAGGCAATGTAATCTTAATATGCTATCAAGCATGATATAATGTGAATCGACTTACTTTAAAATTGAACTTTATAGAGTAATAAGCAATGTTCGACTAAGTTTATTTTTCGTTTGTTCTTAATGCTTGTGTGTTCAAAGCTTAAGAACTTACGCAAAATGCGAAATGTTGTTTTTTGCTCGTTAAATCAATTTACGTCACAAAATTAATTGTTATTTGAAATAATGAAATCGCATTGAATGTGAGAATAACGAAATGAATTTTACTGGACGCGACAAACGATAATGCGATGCTCCATATATATAATAATTGATAAGCTTAATTTTTTATGGTACAAATGCTACTCAGCATAGACGTTCGAGCTTTTTGCCAGGAACGATTGCTACGCCATTATTTACTCAGGGTATAATATTCTATACACCCTTTCTTCAATCGTATACTGGGAATGTTTCAATAGAACTTTTAAAATAGTGGTTTCTTGCATCCTTTAGATTTATAATATTGCTATGCTCCTTATACTGAAATCTTTGTATTTTATTTCAGATCAAAAATTATGAAATAATTTACTTTATTTACATCAAATAGTGTAGAAAAATGTCCGGACGACATGATAAAGTAGCCCTATATCAAAGAGTGCTCCATAATTCATAAATATGGACCTCGTTTTTACAGAGGCCTTCCACGCTTTTCCTGACAGGAACGAAATACTATAGTGTTAAGCAAATATCTAAATATGTATATCCTGTATGCTTATCTATAAAAAAAAGTAGCTTCTTGTCCGTGAATTATCACGTTAGATGTCTGAATACTAGAAACTGATGTGCATAATAAACGATTTTGTTTTAAACAATTGCACAGCATGTGATATTTTACAAAAAAATAAAAAAAAGGAAAAAACATGGTGCTTTTGATTTTGCATTAACAGCTGACTCTGATATAGCAAACAAATGGAAGTAGTATGCATACAATGAATAACAATAAAATATGTATAATAGAAAAAAATATTCGAAATTAATTATTGTATTATTAACTGTAACTTCTATATCAGCTTCATGAAATATTTCAGTACAGGAAAGCAATACTTATATAAAATCAAATTACTATCTATTGTTGAATTTATAGATTATTATTTCATGTATCTTTTTTAAAAAGTAATGTTTACAAGACAAAAGTACACTATTAAGTATTAAAGGGCCTATAAAAATGAATGATAACAATTCTACACTTAATATGCGCTGCCATTATTATACTGATTGTTTTAATTAATATTTTACGTATATAACAATATTTGCAGCACATTCTTCAAGTTTCGTACTTTCAAAATGATAATTAATAATTAGGAACACATCAAATTGATTTTAGATTTGTGTGTACATATAATTTTATTTAGTAGTATTTCTTTTAAATATTCCTATGTTTGTATTTGTTTTACAAGAAATTTTTATAAATAAATTATTCATAAATTTTCATTTAAGAAAGAAAATGGAAATATAAGAAAACATTAAAATTTTTATATAATTTTTGACTAAATTCTCTATATTATTATTGACGAAAATATAATTGATATCATGAAAAATATAGTGGATGAAAAGTTTTGTAATTACATTTTATATTATTGCTAATTTTCATATGTAGTCAAATTATAATTAATTAAAAGAAATTATTTTAAAAAATGAAAAAATCAATTCTCATAAATATTTATAAAACTAATGATATCACATATAGATTATAAACAAGCACCAACGTTGAATTATATTTAAAAATTATGTAAAATATGATTTTCATTGATTTTCACATTATATATGATTGAATAAGAAATTATAAAATGAATGGCAGAAAGCATTCCTGTACAAACGATTTATTAGGCTGAAAACTGTTTCATTTTGAAACAGATTTCATTCTACGCTTATTACACGAAAAAAAGAGATGGAATTATAAATTATACAGATCTTGGAATGTTACATCTATGCGAAAATTTGTATATATAAATGGCCTCTGTGTCAGGGAATATATTTTCCTTTTTGGCACAAAGTTCCATTTTGTTTATAGAAATATGGATGAATGTCACTTATTTGAATCTTGAAGAGGACAGTGCCTGTAATTTAGTAAAGTTATTCCTAGATTACATTTATGGGGATAAGAATAAATATTCCATTTCAAACGAGAACGGAGTCAGGATAAAGAAAATTTACGTTAGTATTAATTAACAAGAGGCGTAGTGGACAATGATTTTTGTACAGCTGAAAGGATTATAGCCGAATAAGATTTAGTGTGCTGTAGCTGCGAATATATTGTTTCCTTTTAGTACAAAATACGTTTCAACTTTACAAGTTGTCACGTTCACTTTTTCTAGTTTTTAGACGTAAAAAGATCTACAGTAGCCTATGTTGCAGCGCAACCGATTTCAATATTATTATTGCAAACAAAGGCACAAGTTAATATAATGTTAACAAAAAATAAACGTTATTAGTGATTAAAAACCATTGAAGTCGGTGTACGCTGCATTCGTGAACCAAAACAATATATAGACAAGGTATTAAGAATAAATTGTACAATAAAGAATTAATCGAATAATTAGGCAGTACACTTAGTCGCGTCTCAGTACTGTATATCCAGGGCAAAAGCTATTAGCGTATTATTCATGTCCCTTGTACATGTAAGGTACAAATGAAAAAAAAGAAACGAATTGCTGAGTGACAAAATACATCGTAAATGAAACATTTTACTTCAGTATTTGTAATGATTTCTATACCTTATTCCCTTAAATATTGTGAGGTTTTAAATTTCTTATTTAACATAAATAACATTTTTTATCATTTATACAAACAGACTTACATATAAAAATATGACAATTTTCTTTGTTTTTATGAGATCTAAATATAAAATGATTATTCACATGAAATATTGATAATTAATTAATTAATAATTAATAAATAATTAATTAATAATTATCAATGTTTTATTTATAATATTATGTTGATTTTAATGTTTTTATCTTCTTTATTTTGGACAATTTTTTTGCCTTTTCTTTTCTCTTTAGTTCAGATTTACGAGAAATCTATATATTGAAAAATAAAAGAAAAATAATTTATTTTCGTTAATTCGTGTCTTTAATAAATAAAAAAAAATAAACAAATACACATACTTACAATTGCATTATCTGATAAATCTTTTTTATTAATCTTTTTTTGTTTTTTTTCAATTAATTTTTTATCTTCTGTGTTACTAATTACTTGCATTTTTTCAAATAACATATCATATTCTGAATCTGAACATTCTAAATTGGTTTGTATATTTTCTTGTTTTTTTACTTCAAAATTCTTAATATTTTTATTATACTTGTGTGTACTTTGTTCATTAATTTCGTTATTCTTTGAAAATGAAAATTCTGAACGTAATACCATACATGATATTTTTGATGTTAAATATATCTGCAATAAAAAATAAAATTATATAATGAATTACATTTTAATATATTATTCTTTTGATATTAAATTAAATTATACCTTTTTTAATAATTGTTTTGTATTAATATGGTGTATTCGTAAATATCTATCTAAACTAACACTAATAATATAAGGTTCAACTGTACTACAAGCTATTCCAGTTACACCTCCAACAAATCCTTTATATGTATTTAATACTTTAGCTGGTTTTCTTAGATCCACAAGATTCATTTTACCTTTACCAGTACCTACTATAATTTGTCTGCAATTAAATGAAAACATTTTATATTTATATTAAAAGAAAAATTATTATATTTTTTACATGCATTTCATATATACTTCTGTTGTGGTACTACACTTAAAGTTGTTAATATTTCATCTTTCATTTCTATATTTATAATTGGTCTTCTTTGCACTTTTGGATCATACAAACGTACCTTAAAAAATTTTTTTTATATACAATATATATATATATTTAACTAATTGCATAATGTGTATTAATCAGGATCTTACATGTCCATATCTACCAACAGTAACAATTTCGTCTGTATAAGGAAGAAAATCTATATCAGAAATCCAAATAGGAACTCTTAATTGTAACCAATCAAGAGCTACATTTTTTTCTAGAAATATTCGAGTTTGTCTTTCTATATCAAATAATTTTAATTCATGTTCTTGACCTCCAGTTGCTATTACATGTTTATTATTTTTGAATGACGCATTTTATCTAAATTTTCACCAGCTCTTATTATAAATCCATCTTCTTCTTTAAATCTCCATAATTTTACTTCTCCTGATTTAACAGCAGTTAAAATTGCTCTGTGGATAAAATATTATATTAAAATTGAATGATATATTATTTCAGAAACATTTATTTGAAATATTACTCACTCATCATATCGAGATATGCCAGTTATTTTTCCTGTTCCAATATTGCAAAAAAAAGAACATGTAAATGTTGAACACTCCGAGTCATAAACTTTTACACTACAAAAAAAAATTATAATGTTTTTAAATATACATAATTGATAAATTATTTATCATATATAACCTTCTAATATCTTTTACTCCACAACCAATTAAAATTTCTCTTTCATCATCATCACCCCAAGACATTGATGTAACTTCATCATTATCTGTTATGGAAATTAAATTTTGTATATTTTCTATTAAATATTCTTCTTTTTCTATTTTTACACCTATCAACAAAGTTCATAATTAAATGATTATTATTAAATTATCAAAAATATAACAAAAAAATATTTTATGATTAATTGTTATATAGTACTTTACTAAACTAACCTAACTAAAAAAACAATATTAATATAATATTAATAATAATACTTTACCTTTGAAAATTCCAGATTTACCACCAACATAAACATTAAAATTATCTTTTACACTCATTTTGAAAAAAATAAATTACAAACAATAAGAATTTATATTTATATATACATTAAAAGTTAACTACGTGACGAAACTACTATAGACTATAGACAAGTGCAAAATAGCCAATACAATACAACTAATACATATTTAAAATGCAATTTCTATTAGAGATAAGATACAGTCAGAATTTTCGGTATTTTTATGATTTGAAAGATTTAAGTATAAAAATTATATTCAATTCCTTTCTAAAAGTTGATAAAGTGAATAGACTTTAAAAATAATTATATATATATATATATATATATATCTTTTCATAAATATTCCTATGCACTATATGTTTCATATAACTATTCATAAATTTTTTAACTACTGAATACGATAAATTCATGTATAAGTTGAATTAAAAATTAAGCAATAATTTTAATGCTAGTATTTTTTATTATAAAATAATAATGAAAATAATATCTATTTATGAGACTTTTTTTTAATAAAAATGTATTTAAATATAATATTATTAAATCTAAATTTATTTGAGTTTTAATATATATTTATATTAATTATAAATATTAATATTTATACAAATAACAAAAGACGATTTCATGAAAATTTGATAAAAATTAAGGAAATTTTATTTTAAAAATATAAGAAAGTTTACAAGTTTTCTTTATTTTTATTTATTATTCTTTTTTTTAATTAATTTTTAATTATTAATCAATATCAGAATTATGACGTTTTGCAGAGTAAATATAAACAAGGAAATAAATAATAAAAGAATAATAATGGAAAAAAGATAGAATAAAAATTAAGAAATCTTTAGAGTGCCGCGAATAAAATTCACAAAGAAAATAATAAGAGAAAGATACAAATAGAATAAGAATTAACAACAAGAATAAAAATATTAATAAAATTTTCTAATAATATTTTTAGAAAAATTATCATTTATTAAATTTTAATGTAAATTTAAAATTGTTTTTTTAATATTCAAGAGATGGCGCTAATTATCAATTCCTACCTTATCTTTATTCTTTTCATTGCTATTTGTTTTTCTTGTCTATATGTATTTCATTTGCAACACTCTAGAGATGGCGCTAACTTCCTAATTTTTACCTTATTTCTTATTTTTGTTCTTGTATTATTTTTTCTACTTGTTTATACTTGTTTTGTAAAATTTGCACTTAAAAAATGACTCCGATATCTGATTAACACAAAAATATATTATAAATATTATAAACAAACATTAAATTTAAAAATTTGAAAATATATACATATTTAAATTCTTTATACATGTTTACGAAAAAATTTATATCAGAATATAGTATCTTTGAAACATTTAATACTGTAAAAAAAAGATATCTTATATTGTAAAAAATAAATATATAAAATAAATATTTCTGAAATTAAAAAGACTGACTAAAGAAATGATCCAAAATCCAAAAAAATGATAGCTGTAACAGATTTTAGTAGACAAATAAATATTTCATGGATAAACATATAAAATTTCATGAGAATTTTTATTTTTAGAAATATTAGATAACTTCGCATGAAATTATATTCTTCTGATATAAAATTTTAATCGATCAAATTTTATATTCCGTGCAATTGCTGTAATTTAATTATTTAGAAATAGATTTAAATACATATATAATAAAAATATTATTGATAATATAATTCAAATATTTTTAAAAATAATTTTATTAATTAATGTATGATAATTATAATAAAATTTATGTTAATAATATTAATATAGAAAACAGTAATGATATTAACAACAGCATATAGTTTAAACATAAAACTTGCACAATTTACAGATATTATTTATATACAACATAAATATTATTTTCATAATAAAATATTTTCGTTTTCATTTCTTATATTTTTTTATATTGCTTTTATTTCATTGTTATATAGTATTTTATATAATTTATTTTATATTCAATCATCTATCTTACAATATAAAAAGCATTATTAAAACGAATATACTACTAATATTAGAAGCAATTTGAAATGCACTATTTCTTTTCATAGTTGAATTTATCCAATCTAAATATAAATCTAATCGACAATATACACCAGGTGAATTAGGACGAGCACAACCTTTACCCCATGATATTATACCAATTTGTATTCCTTTGCATAATAATGGACCACCACTATCACCCTATAATGTTTTTCAATCATAAGTACAACACTTAAATACAAAATAAAAGTAATCATAAATTATAATACAAACTTGACATGCATCTTTTCCACCTTCTAGCACACCTGCACATAAGTGAAACTTAGTACTTACTCCTTCAACAGGACACTTTTCATGTCGTATTAACGGAAGATGGACATGACGAAGATAAGTACCCGTTCCTTTCTAAACAAAATTTATTTTCATAATTAAAATGATCAAATATTTCAATTAAAAAGACAATTTTTATAAATTAAATATACATACATCTTTTTTATATTCTTTGTACCGCTTATATCTCATTAATTTTTTAATCTTAATTTAAGAAAATAATCACGAGAATTACTGCAAGAAATAATATAACAAATAAACAAAGATTATAAGAAAAAAGATATAAATACAAAGTAACATACGAAATAATAAAATAATAAAATATTATTACATCTGCTCAAAAGGATTAATTCGCTCCAATTCTAAACTCTCGCCGTACACATACACATATACCATTTCGTGTACTGTTTACTCTGCATTCTTTCACATAATCTATACCACATTGAAAGCATCACGCCATTCATTTTCCACGCCCTATACAATCGCAAACTCGAACGGATTGTCTGTATTTTTGTCAATCAATGGAACAATTTTTGCGAATGACAGTAAATAACTAGATGCGGTTAACTACGTACATTGGATCCAGGTATGTGTCGTCCCCAGCCAACCGCAGTACAGGGATCGGGATACGTTTGGAAAATGTTTACGTCATAGGCAGTAGGTAGGGTGACGAATTTCACGTACGAGTTAATGTAAAAGGGTTGCGAGAGCTGAATACAAAAATAAACAGAACAATATAATTGAGAAAATCGATGGAACCATGTTTCGTTTATTTCAAGCTTTTTACCTGAATTTTATTTCGTCGTGTTATGCTTTTCACTCATTTCTCATTTAATTCTCTAATTAAAGCTACATATAAATGTGAGAAAAAAACTTGAAGATAAAATTAAAAATAATTTTAATTTTGTTTATTCCTACTTCTATTTTCGCAAAAGAATGTTTAAAGCGAGATACAAAAACAAATGTGAAAATGAAAGATAACTTTTACAAAAATTTACAAAAAGATTCATTCTATTCATTTCTTAATATACTTGTTAATAAGTTATTATGATCATGAGTTGTGAAAATTTTACTTTAAGATTTACATAAGATTGTTGTGTATTAAAAAATTATTAATTTAATCTAACATAACCTAAAATATCTATCGATTGAATAATATTTATCTAATCTTCCATTTTTTGTATTTTTAATTCAATTTTCAAATAAAATTTGCATATAAAGTAATTGATTAAAAAAATTTTTTAAAAATCAAAAAGAAATAGAATAAATAAATAAACTATTTCCAATCGATTCAAATTTTATCTCCAAGAAATTTTTCTCAGATTTCTTTTTTTCTTCGTACATTTTTTACTGAAATTCCAACATTTCAAAATTCGAATTCGAGAAAAAGCATTGCACGAATATACACGCAAAAAGAAAACAAAATAGAAAGAAAAAAAATTAAATAGTGTTCAGGATCTTTCGTATTAACTTCAACTATGTCCCTTTTCTCTTTCTTTTTTTTTTTATCACTTTTATTTATTTTATTTTTCACATAGAGTTTATATATACACATAATAGTCACCCTGAACAATCCAATATCGTGATGCATGGTCGTGAAATTAAAATCCCTGTGCGGTAATGTTCTGTCTACCAATTCCATCTGTATGGAACTCCAGCTTGGAAAGTACACGTAAGTGGCTCCGGCAATTACGTAGAATAGGCGTGGATTTTCGGCAACCCATTTACCTTTGGGTAGTGGTCTATATGAACGATTTATATGAATCATTTTCCCGATTATAATTCACAATTTTTATGCGATTTGTTTCTTTTAAAGTTTTTCTTTTTCTTGTTTAACATATATTCTTTTTTCGTAACGCACACACAAGAATTTATGCGCACAAGAATAATAGAATGATGTAATAGGATTATCACGGGCGGCCACTGATTCCTTGTTTCCAAAGTGGAGATAAAGCTGAGTTCACGCGGGAAATTAATAAAAACACGTTTCGAATAATCGATGAAAGAAATGAATGAATCGATTACAAAGATAGTGATGATAGGTGATTAATGCATTTACATTGTCACTTTTTATTTCACTTTCCTTCCTTTTTTTTTCGTAGCTTTGTTTGTCTTTTTGTTGATTCTCGGTGGATTGTGTTAAACTTTAATAAGATCTAACGTCGCTAACCCTTTCACTGCTGTGATCACTAATATGGTTGGTATAGGTTATTACGTATGCTGATGTGAAATAGTCTGAATATGATGAAAAAATAAATTTTAAATCTCTTAGACTGTTAACTAGATAGAAATTAATTTGTCTATCTAAATTATATTTAGATAAGAAGAACAAAAATATCATTTGCATTTTTTTATATGTATTAGACACTTCGAATGATTAAACTCGCATGATTATATCGATATGATCTCGAAAAAGAAAAAGAGGGCGCAATAAGAGAAACAAAAATTAGCGCCATCTATTAATCCAATTATGTATATAGTAATTGTTAATTAATCCAGCAATATGACTTCAGTATAAAAATATAATAAATTACAATTAAATTAATGTTATGCATTATGATTAAATTAATATAATTTTTATATATAATTTTTAAGATTATTTCATCAATTGAAGAGAAATATTCGTTAATCGAAATGTTAACATGAAACCTAGTCAACAGTTTAATCGACAACCTGTTAATTATTTAGTAATGTTTGTTCGAATCGTTTTGTTGAATTCGAACATCGATATTCAAATATTTTTTTACTAAAGTTTCGATTGAAATACAGATATTCTATTCTAGATTGCACATTTAGCAATCTAAAGATTAACAATTATCTTTATTCGATTTGGAATAGCATCTGATGGCAAA